CCTTCGTCTGATCTCTCTGTCTGTCCATCTGGTATGGCAAACCTTACCGCCGAGCCAGTGCTTCTCTCTGATTGACCATCCGGTATCGCAAATGATAACGACGAGCTCCGAGACGAACCCTGATCTCTCTCTCCACTTGAAATYGCAAACGATACCACCGAAGGTTTATGCTTTCTCCTCGTCTTCTTCGTTCTGATAATGCCGCCAGAAGAGGTTTTGAGGCYGCCTGAACTATAGTGGACAGTGCTCTTGCTATTTATGATGCTACCAGAGCTATTTCGAACACTCGTATCCCTGTTTTCACCACCAGAATCGTTGTTCGTTCCGAAGATACCTTCATTATCAACGACTTCTCCCCATGAGTCTGGGTGAAATCCAGAATATAGACTGCTGATCAAGGCCTCATTGAATTGCGCTTGGTAGTTGTTTAGGGGCAAATCGTTGGGATATCGAATGAATGGTTGTTCCAATTCAAGTGCTACTTCCAGGATCCCAAAAAAGCAACTAACTGTGAAAAAGTTCAGAATCACTCCCAACAGCGTATCATTGACATAAGTATAAAAAAGGAGCGGGAACATGAAAATGCTCACAAAACCAAAAAAAGAAATCAACTGAGCGTGCGGGAAAGGAAAGTCGGTATTAGCTGTCTTGCGGCAGTTATTGTACTGCGTGGATCCGTCGGAAATGTACTGGTACACACGGGCAACGATCGGGGGGTGGACCTTCCCGGTACTACCATTGAGGTGTTCGCGCGTAATGAACTCTTTCAGCCACAGGCAGCACAGTGCATGCTGTGCAGCATGCCCACGAACCTTCCGGAGCATTTCGACCTCGGCGTCGCTGATTCCTCCCAGAACCTGGAATGGACGGGAAGCGTTATAGATGGTTCGTTGGCGGGAATTTCTGGAAAACCCAAACAAAAACATCAATACGTTCAAGTTATTATTGTTCCGCTTGACTCGAATCGAGGAGCACGTCTTAGTATTGTTCCCTATTATGTCTTGGTCGAATTCCGGTTCGATTTCTGTGTCATATTCGGGTCTTCCATCTTCTACTAAAATCTTAATTTGCATTTCCTCAGGATTCACAGGGGGAAATTTCTGACCAGGAACATAATCAACCAAAGGACTGGAAACTCCTTCCATGTCATTTCGCAAACTTGCCATCGATACTGCGCTTATTAGGGAATATAAATGCGCCGCTTCTTGCAAAAACAGACTTGTTTTCCTATTTAATTTTTCCACCGGAGGTTGGAACAACTTCGAACTTTGTGGATCAATTGCTATGTTTGGACTAGACGCATACTGATCGGGTTTGGTACTTGGAAACTCTGAATTCAATTCTGGATTTGAAGTTTCAGTGCGTTCAGAGGTGTCCCTCGCCGAGTCTTTGTGAAGAGAAGGAAGATCGAAGAGTTCCAATTTCTTGTWGASGTTTGAGAAYCCTGTAATAWTTTTYGGTTTGTCTCGATTAGAATCTGTTTGGGCACTGCTTCCTGGCTGAGAAGTAGTCGTTGTTGGCTCGTTGTTGCCTTTTAAAATTTCAAGAGACTTGGTAGAGGTGAAGATTTTGCTGTTGCTGCTGTTGCTGTCGCTGTTATGATCGCTGAATTGCTGGAAAATCAGGGAAGGCCGCTTCAACAGTTGAAGCGATGGTCGCCGACCTGTTTGTTCAAATTTTCGTCTCATCTCTTCGATTTGCCTCCTACGGGTCTCTTGCTTTCGTTCTTTCTCTTCTTCCAAGAGCATCGTCTCAATATCATAGTCTGGATCGGTTGTGCTCCTCGCTGTCGCCGTCGGGTGGAGTCCCGTGTTGCTTGGCATTGCAATCGTGTTTCGTTTTTGCCAAGCCAAGCTAGGATTGGGTTTGAAAGATTTGACAACACTTCCACCGACTCCGTGTACCGGAATGTCCGTGGAAGGCAGTCGCCTGTGTCTGGAATGAGCCGATGAATTCGACGAAAGTTTTTCGGCCGAGACTGATTTCCTTGCGTACTTCGATCTGATTGGATCAGACCTCATTTTCTTTGGCTGGCCTTGCTTTGGGAAGGATGGTACCATTGGAGCGGATGTGAACATTTCGTTGGGAGCAGAAGATGAGGAGCGATCGCTTCCCGTAGGAATAGCCCCTGATTGCTTTAGGGATGAAACCAAAGCTTTCGCTGGAGCTTTGTTCGAATTGTTGTCGGCTGCATCCGATGGTGAAAGTGATGCTTCTGCTGCTGTTGCGGACGAAAGTCTCTTGCTTTTGCTTTTTCCTTTGCTCTTGCCCTCCCATTGGAAGATTCTTTGGAAAATGCTGCGAGCTCTCTTCGATTGTATCGATTCCGAATCTGATTCCGATTCCTCGTCTTGGTTGTTCTCGACGAGAGCTTTGGAGCTGCGATATCGCTGCCTCGTGTGAACTGCAACAAAGCTTTTCTGTGAAACCAGAGATCCACCTCTAGTGCCTCTAGTACCTCTCGTTCCTATGGAAGACACCGCTGTGGTGGCACCGGAACTGGTAGATCCGGATAGGGAATGAGGGGGGGCTAGCGGTGGGACAGGTTGAGGCCTTGAACTATTTGTTGCAGCAGACGACTCATCTATGCTGGCCTCGTCATCGTATTCTGTAAAGGAGTACAGAATATCCTCTGAGAGGTATCCTACCGAACCCGCCGTCCGCTGGTTTCCGCCCTTTGGCGCTCGCTTGGTCTTGTCCTTGTCCTGGTCACCAAAGGAAATGGGCCTGTTTTCCTCAAATACCTCCGATTGGTAATGAAAGGATGCAAGAGCAGTTGCCGAATCGATCCATTTAGATGTCATTGTGAATATGCTCGAGCACGACTCCCAGTATCGCTGGTAACAATAATTCAGGCGATGAGTGATGATGAGAGAATAGGCCATGACGTAGATGGTGATGACAAAGGGATGTACGGTGAAAAGGGCGTGGTCGTCAACTTTGACTTCGTCGGCGGTCTCGCCTTCCCCGATCAAATAAAAGAAGGTGAAGTAAAAGAATACAGAAACGCTTGACGGCAACATCGTCCGATAGACGGCACTTCCATTGAAGATAGTCAACTGGGGCAGACCGAAATAGCTTGAACCGTATAGAATCATGGTCAGTAATCCACTTTTGCTGTTGTTGTAGGGCGAAACTCTTTTTTCGAGGCTAGTTGTATTCGAGGGGAGGCACAGATGCCCCTGGTGAAAAACCACGACGTCGTATCAGTTGCCGCCTTTCTCTGTTTATGTCATAGATACGTCGATCCAATCCGTCTTTTTACTTTTTTCCTGCTACGAAATAGATTTTGTTGAAGTTGAACTAAGTCAACCGTACCAGTAAACAATCGATGGATTCTTTTCTCCGATCTGCAGACGCTCTCGCGGTGCTGTTTTCGTTCCGTGTCACGAAGCTACCGGCCCGCCAAGAACCGTTGCCGTGATCTATCCTATCTGTGTCGTGTAGTGCCGCGTCGGTCGGGAGTTCCTTCGTCGTCTATTGTGCCGAAGATATGGAGCCAACAAGCACGACAGGGACTTCACAACGAATTTTTTTGTGTCACGGCACGGGTACGTACGTAGAATTAGTCCCTACCGGTACGTGAGCACAGGGAAGTCCAATAGACGGGGATACAAGGCAAGAAAGCGAAACGATCAGTCGGAATGACAGCGAGCTGGCGATTGAAATTAGGAGAGGGGGCTCAGCGAAATCTACCACCATGCAAAATTTTAAGCTAGAAAAGATAGGCAAGTGGTACTACTACTACTACTACTACCAGATTTGGACCAAAAATGCTAGCAGATTGAAAATAGTACTACTACCATATGGTGACGTTGTAGCATTACTGGTATAATGCATCCCTAGAAGATGCCTTCTTGTTGCTGTTACATTTCTTGTATCTGTGGTCCTCTGCTGTCCACTCCAATTAAAAAGCAGCAGAAGATGAGGACGAGTTGAGGGATAGTACTACTACTAGTACTATATCGTATAGTACTACTAGAGTTGGCGGAGATTTTCTGGCTGTGTCATTTGTAAATTAGGAATGCTCAATATTCATACACGTATATCTACTATTAATATTTCTCTGACCCCCCCTACTCCCCCCATATCACTGAATTTGTCTTTTTACTGAGATTATCATTGACAAGCATCCGTTGGTGGGGACCAAGAAAAAGAATCAATTCTTGCTCAAGCAAATGAGTTTGCCTCCAAATGTGGCCCAACTGATTCTTTAGCTAATTGCAGACAGGAAACATTTTTTCCAACAAGACAATACTCTTCATCAGACAGTTACAAATACGTTCAATTCACCAAGGTTTGATTTCAAAATATTTGGGAGCATCTTCTTTTGATGATTTCAAATCTAGTGACTATGTTGAGAGAGCTTCCAATGATATCATTCCAAGCAAGGAGGAGTTGTTACTACCCATTTTCTTTTTGAATTTCAGAAGAATGTCATAATATATGCGTGCATATCTTCCTCAACCAAGATTATATTTTTTTTTGAAAATACAACCAACTGAGATGCTTGTGCATCAGCAAGGAAAAATGAACAAAGGCAAGGAAAAAAGATCATCATCCGGCTCATCTGTTGTTGTAAGTTATTTGTCTCTACAATCTGTTAGACAAACAAGGATCAAGGGTCTTCTTTCTTGCAATGAAAAACTCTCAACTATCAAGAAGTGAAGACAATGCAATACAAACTTCAAAATGCATCTGCAGCCAAAATGGTTGCAAATGATAGTGACGAAGTACAGAGTGTTTTTCAAGATGCAGTTGACTTTGCAACCAATAAGGATACAAAACATAACTTCATAGAGCTCATGATTAAAACTTTACTACTAGTACAGGGTGAAATTCAAGAGGAAACTTCTTGGAAAAGCAAGGTAGACTCACAAGAAGCAGAACTGTTTGTTGCAACCATGCGTTTTTCAGAGGAGATACTATCATTAGCTACTTCTTGGAAAAGCAAGGTAGACTCACAAGAAGCAGAACTGTTTGTTGCAACCATGCGTTTTTCAGAGGAGATACTATCATTAGCTA